TTTTGGATTGATTTTATCCTTTTTGAGATTACTCCGTAATCATCAATGGAAGAGCACGCCGCATTAACAGTCGCTTGAGATGCGCCAAGATTAACTACTGAAAAATAAGGTTGCTAATATTACTGTGTGATATCACAAAGTAAATTACGACAAATAACTGCAAAAAAACAAACATTTCCCATTTTTGCTAAGAAGCTCATTTGCTTGTCGCCAGGCCCTCTCTGTCATCATTTCAGCATGAAGTTTCAACAAGGCAATACGTCTTTCTAACAAAGCTTTTCGCATTCGCAAAATGTCTTTGTCGGTAAAAACACCAGCATTCCTAGATAGACCGGAATAGAGAAATGCATGAGCTGAGATTGGCTTAGGAAGTTACCTCAAAGGAGCAATTGCGTCATCATCTGGGGCATCGTCAAAGACGGTACGGATCAGTGGAGATTCCCATTTGTGGCTAGGTATCAGCCAAGGATACTCATCACTAAAAAGTGATTATTTATAACAGAACAAAATATAACAGGAGCTATTTATGGAATTCTCACCATATCACTCCATCCTGATTCAAAACTGGATTATATTTGGGTTTCCCTTGTCCGGGGTCCTGCATCAAGCGACGATCTTCACAACTGAGCCGACTTTTTATGGATTCATGAAAAGGCTTGTGCTGTAAGAGAAGACACTTCAGTATAAGTAACTAAAACGGTTGAAGGCATCTTAGCAGGGAAAACTAAGAAAACACGAAATATGTGCATAAAGCTGACCAGTTCACATATTCCTCCATTCTCTTTCAAATCCGTTTTCTTACGCACAGCCTTACATTTGATCAAAGTCCTGCTTCCGATGTAACTACATTCTTCGTAGATATCGTGATCGTAGTCTTGTTCCACCAAGCAGTGATTAGTGCCGAATGCAAGTACATAGCGATTAGGAGGCTCCGAAGCAGCCCAATTTATAGGTTCCCCCATACCTGAAAATCAGGGAGATAAGTGTGGTGATACCACCCTATAACCAAGCAGGAAAACTTGAAAGAACCAAGGAAGGTAAATGAAAGCTCAAACACTAAACCATTATTTAAATGTAAATACAAATTTTGGCTCCAATCAAACGCAAACATTCCAGCGGTCGCATGGATCATGTTCGATTAGAGCACTTCGTGCGCATCACGACACTCAACAGGAATCGGAGCGACACTACAAAGCATATTATTTGTTAAGACTTTTTATTAGTTGCTGAATAG